GCAATTCAACTCCTAGGTATATACACAAAAGAATTGAAAGCAGGGGCCCAAATAGATACTAGTACACCAATCTTCACTGCAGCATTAGTCACAATAGCCAAAGGCAGGAACAACCCATGTATTCATCAACCGATCAATGGATAAACAAAATGTAGTATATACGTACAATGGGATATTATTCAGCCATTAAGAGAAATGAAGGTCTGATATATGCTACAACATGGATGAACCTTGAAAACATTATGCTCAGTGAAATAAGACACTAAAGGACAAATATTTTGTGATCCTACTTATATGAAATATCTAGAATAGGCAAATGGATACCAGTAACTGTTGCCAAGTCGATTCTAACTCATGGTGATCCTATGTGTGTCAGAGTAGAACTGTTCTCCATAGAGTTTTCAATGGCTGATATCTGAGAAGCTGGTCACCAGGACTTTCTTCCAAGGAACCTCTGCATGGACTCAAATCTCCAATTTTCAGTGAGCAGCCGAATGCGTTAACTGTTTGCACCACCCAGGGATGGCAAATGGATAGTGATAAAAACTTTGTGGCTACCAGGGGCAGGTAGGAGGGGGAAAGGGGAAGCTATTGCTTAAGGGGCACTGAGTGGCTGTTAAGGGTGAGGAAAAATTGGAAACCGATAATGGTGATGGTTACACAAAATGGTAAAGGTAATTAATTAATGTTACTTAATTACATGTGTAAAAATGGTTGAAATAGCAAATGTTTTGTTATATGTATTTTACTTCAGTTTAAAAAAATTAAAATAACATAAATTACATACAATGAGAAGTCCTGCTCCAACTCTGCCCTGGTCCACCCAGTTTTTCCCCACCGTGCTCCTTGTATTGTTTTGAAAAAAAATCAGTCAATGTTAACAAATCAATCATATTAACAAACTAAAATGAAAACCATACGAGCATCTCCACAGATGCAAAAACAAAAAAGTATTTAACAAAATCCAACACTCATTTCTGATAAAAACTCTCAGCAAACTAGGAATAGAAGGGAACTTCCTCAACTTGATAAAAGCCACCTACAAAAAACCTACAGCTAATATCATACTTAATGGTGAAAGACTGCAGTTTTTCCTTTATGATCAAGAACAAGACAGAAACGGCTACTCTCACCAATACTATTCAACATTGTACTGCAGGTTCTAGCCAGTACAGTCAGGCAAGAAAATGAAATAAAAGCTATTCAGATTGGAAAAGAGGAGTAAAAGTTTTTATTCACAGATGGCATGATCTCCTATGTAAAAAATCCAGTAGAAACTACAAAAAAAGCTACTAGAATTAATAAGTGACTTTAGCAAGGTTGCAGGATACAGAATCAATATACAAAAATAAGCTGTATTTCTATAGACCAGGATTTTAAACTAAAATTTTGAATGAACAATTAAAAAAATGATACCACTTATAATAGCATCAAAAATACGATATGCTTAGGGATAAATCTAAAAGAAAAGATGTGAAAGATTTATACCCTGATTCTACAAAAATAATGCTGAAATTAAAGCAGACATAATTAAATGGAGAGATATACTTTGTTAATGGATCAGAACTAAACATTTCTAAGATGTCAATTCTCCCCCAAAAACTGATATGTATTCAATGCAATTCCAATCAAACTTCCAGCAGGAGTTTTTGTGGAAATTCACAAGCTGATTCTAAAATTCATATGGAAATGCAAGTAACTTAAAATAGCCAAAACAATTTCAAAAAAGAAAAGTTGAAGGGCGAACACTTTCTGATTTTAAGAATTAAGTTATAGTAATCAAGACAGTGCGTTATGGGCATAAAGACAGACAAAAAGATCAATAGGACAGAATAGGGAGTCCAGAAATAAACCCACACATGTATGGAGAACTGATTTTTGGCAAAGGTGCAAAGGCAATGCAACTGATTTTTGACAAGGTACAGCCTTTTCAACAAGTGATGCTGGTAACAACTGGGTATCTACGTGCAAAAATAATGAGCTGAGATCCACCATAGCACCATATACAAAAATTAATCCCAAATGGTTTATAAACCTAAATCTAAAACCTAAAACTACAAAAATTATAGAAGAAAATCCTTGTGGTCTAGGGTTAGGCAAAGAGCTATGACACCAAACACACAATCTAAAACAGACCAAATTGATAAACTGGACTTCATCATCATTAAAAACTTCTGCTCTTCAAAAGACACTGTTAAGAAAATGGAAAAACAAGTCACAGACTGGGGGAAAAAAACCTTTGCAAAGTATACATCTAACAAAACTTGTATCAGGGTATATAAAAAACTCTCAAAACTCAACCATAAGAAACTAAACAACCCAATTAAAAAGATGAGCAAAGGATTTGGAAACTTCACAGAAGAAATCGTTATGTTGCTGTTGTTGTTGGTTGCCACAGACTCAGCTCCAGCTCACGGTGACCTTATGTATAACCGAAGGGAACACTGCCTGGTCCCGTGCCATCTTCATGGTCGTTGGTTATGTGTGAACCCACTGTTTTGGCTGTTGGGTCAATTCATCTCACCGAGGGTGTCCTTTGTTTCCACTGATTCTCTACTTTACCAACCATGATATGCTTTTATAGCGACTGGTCTTTCCTGATGATGTGTCCAAAGTTAAGTCCAAGTACAGATGGTAATTAGCACATGAAAAGATGCTCAACATCACAGTAACCTGAAAAAAAAAAAAAGTTGCTGTTGAGTTGATTCTGACTCATGGCAACCTTCTGTGTGTCAGCACAGAACTGTGCTCTATAGTTTTCAGTGGCTGATTTTTTAGAAGTAGATCATCAGGCCTTTCTTTTGAGATGCATGAGGAAATTTAGGATGATGAATATTTTCTTTACCTTGACTGTAATGATGGTTTCATGGGTGTATACAAATGTCAAAACTTATCAAACGGTACGCTTTAAATTGTACAGTTTATTGCATGTCAATAATATTTCAATAAAGCTGTCTAAAGGAGCCCTGGTGGCAGTGTTTAAACGCTTGGCTGCTCAGCAGTTTGAACCCACCAGCTGCTCCTCGGGAGAAAGATGTGGCAGTCTTCTATAAAGACTTACAGCCTTGGAAACCCTGTGGGGCAGTTCTACTCTGTCCAACAGGGTTGCTATGAGTTGGAATCAGCTTGAGGGCACCCAGCAACAACAAGAAAGCTGTTTAAAACACAAATTGCTGGGCTCTACCATCAGAGTTTCCGACTATAAAATTATTTATCCAGTTTATTAGACCAAAATCAATAATTTCAGGAGTTTCCTACTGAAGTCTAAAAATCCATTCCTTAATAGCAAGGATGGCATCTCTGGAATTAAAGTTACTATTTTCCAAAAGTATTTTTATCAATCTAGAAGCAATTTATACTACAGTGTATCCATATGGGCTGATACAGAACAAAACTCAAGGCGCAGGCAAAGAGATGAAGGATCCATGAAGTTTAGTTTTCTAATGGTTAAGCAGATATGGCATAAGGATGACAAAGAGAATGGGGAGGGGGAAGAAGAAATAAATAAAAGAACCCAAGCCTGGAGGTGAAGTTGGTAAGATAGAGTGAGATCTGTAACTATGAGACAGCAATGATTTAAATTTGGAGAAAGACATAGCATGGCGTTCACATAATGAGTAGCAGAGAAAGGCTGCATTCGTAAGTTCAGAGGTAACACTGGAGAATGGGATATAGCAGAACTTGACTACCATCTTTTTTTCTCTCAATATCTAGCCATCATGACCTAGGGAATGCTAGAACTGCAAAATAAACTTCATAAACTGCTTTGTTAACTAACCATTAACTTAAAACTTGTTTATTAAAAATTGGTTAGATATGGGATAAATTTTAGGAACCATGATTCTGTATCTGGTATCAAATGGTTTCATCTATTTCAAAGAGAGGAGTATAATTGGAAAAAAAATTCTAGGAGCTCTATTTTATTAACAAAACTAATTTCTATTGACATAATACATACCACAATTTGGCCAAGCTGCAGATGACAAATAAGTAATGTATTTTGGGTATCTGAAAGGATATCAAGTTATTTACAAGAATTTAGTCATTATTATGAGTTAACATATTTGATATTTAGAAGATATTTCTCTATAATTAGAGAAACTTCATCTTCTTTAACTACTTTTAGAAAGTTGGTACTTATAATTTTTTAAATCACTTCTTCCCCCAAATTATGCTAAAAAGGAGAACATTAGTAAAACCTAAGTTTGTAAAAACAAATGAACTAAATTATAAACAAATAAAAACAAAATCACATATTTTAATGCCATCTCTTTAAAATCTACTAAAATATATAAGGTTGCTATGAGTTAGAACCGACTCGACAGCACCAAACAACAACAAAATATTCCGTAGCATACTTTGAAAAATATTACTCTGTACCTTCAAAAAGGGGTAATACCCAATATGTCTTCTTACTATTAATAAACAAGTTAAAATCCAAAGAATAATATTATAAAGTTGCTACTTTTAAGGAAGAAAAAGAAAACTTATATAAGAGTAAGGTTTTAAAAAAAAAAAAAGGAGAATCTAATAATACTAAGATTAGTAAACTAAAATGTTTTCATCAGAATATTTCATAAAATCGATGTACTGCTGGGAAGATATGCAATCACTTAAATGATCTGCCTGCTACTAAGCTGGACTATTCACCTACTCATAGTGAAGTACATGGAAGAAGGCTGACATTTGAATTAAAAAGAAAAAGAAAAAAAAAAAAACAACCTCTCAGGAAGTAAAAGGAACTCCAAAAGCACAAGTTTAATTTACCAAGTACTTTTTAAAGTATTCCAACCCTACTCAGAAATAACACAAGCTATCCAAGTGGTTTAAAATCCAAGGCCTTTAATTGTTCTCAGTATGACCATAAATGCCTTCACAAAGCCTCTTTTACACTGTAAACAGAAGGCACTAGGCATTATATAACACCCTTAAAGCAGTGATTCCTTCTGATGCTGGTGGAGATAAACATTAAATGGCAGGGTTCAGATATTAACAAAGTCCTCTTAAAAAAAAAAAAAAAACTGAAAATCACACACAAAAAATTAAGTTACCCAGCCAGTCTTTCTCAGGTTCCCAATGCAATTTTAAGTTATTTTTACAAGTACATAATTTGAAATTAAGAAACAAATCTGGTAGGTATGATATGGTTTCCAACATGTGTTAAGTTTCAGTGAAATACAGAAGATATGAAGACACCATTATCATGCTAACTGGCATCTTTTGCTACTCTTCAGCTGTGCAAAATAAACTTGAAATGATACATCCTACAGTGGTATACTTTAAAAGATCCTTGATATGACACTAACAACTTTCAAATTCTGGTCACAGACTGTATATAAATTGTAAGATAACTGAAATACACCTTTTTGAAAAATAGTAAGATGACCGTTTATACCTAAATGAGGTTTCCCAGAAAGATATGAAATATTTTATCATATAAAAGCAGTTACCCTTTTCTATAGGGACAACTGTTGTTTCACAAAATAACTCATATGATCAAAGGGAGATGATTTTTTTCAAATGCCATTTTCTCTCTATGACTTTGAGGTATGCTTGAAGAGACTGTATCCATGTGAAAAGGGCACATTTGGGTATTAGACCACAGTTACTTACAGACAGAGCCTTGCTTGGGTCAGGAGTCCCTTATGACTTACACCAAGAGAGAAGAAGAGATAGCTTCTGAAGCCATTTCTTCTACAAATAACGACAACTAAATTTGGTTACTTAGAGGATAATTCAAGACACAGCTATTTACATATATGCTATGTCTTGTGTGCCTATTTTACATAGTGGCTTCTGTAGGGCACTCCTATTCAAACACAAACCAAGCAATCTTACTTACTCTACCAAACCACATTCTTCTATTTTTGGCAAGGTAGTTTAAACAAAATAAAAATAAAAAATAACAAAGAAACAACAACAACAACAAAAATTGGCTATAACAGTGATTCAGGCAAACATCCCATGGCAAACAACAGTAGAAGTGTTCTCAGAAACATCAGGGGGATGAAAACCCTGCCAAACAAATAATGCCACTGAAAAATCAATCTTACACTCACTCAAATGACTATCACATAAAAGGCTTACGAATACATTTGAAATAGGAACAGTTGAGTTTAAAAAATGGCTGATGATATCGAGTTTTATCATTAGAATATCTTTGAAAAAATCCAAGCTAATTAATCTAAACAGGCCCAACTAGTAAACGTTACAAGGAAATAACTATTCCTCCCTAGTCCATAATTAATACTAATACCTTCTTGCCTTTGGAGAAACTGATGATTAAATTTTGAAAATGCTAATGAAATTAAAACCTTCTACATGGCAATTAAAAAAAGAAGCCTACTCATAAACACACTGGGAGGCAAGAAACACGTTGTTAAGCACTGATTACTCAATAAAATGCCTTATAAAATTACATATCATAAGAAAAAAGCTTCAAGACTAGCAGCTGGGCTTTGTGAAACAAGCTGGACAACAGAAGGCACTACATAAGCATGGATTACTTCTAGCTCTAGTTGAACAGTTCATCTTGTCCTTCTTAAGAAGACAGCCAGTGTGAATGTTATTTTTATATCCCCCTGAGTTTTAACATGATTGGGCAAAGCAGCACCAATTTAAAAAAATATCTGCAATGCCAGCACTGCAGCTTGGAATCACTTACACCGATGGCCCCACAGGCCTCTCATAAGAGCACTTTAGAACATGATTAAAAATATAGAAATGCCTTTCGGTGTTTCAGTATTAAAGTGGAACCATCATAGATATCCGTTTTAAAAAATAATGCACTAAAAAGGTCTGTTTATACAGTACAGTCTTTCCACCCTGTAGCTAGCATTTGCGGCTGATTTCCACTTCTTTGCCACTGAGACATCTCTTTTGTGCGTCTGGCTGAAATGTCAGTATGCTTCACGGTGCGCAATCTTTTTCGGCTGGAAAATCCTGGCAAATATCATGTCATGCCCGTTTTGAGCAGAATGCCTTGCAGGTCCTCTGGCAATGCTAAGATAATTGCATCTATGTGTGTCCGTAACTCTTCCACAGTGTCAGGTTTCACAGGTAAACGCTCTCGATCAGCTTGCACCTAAGAAGGAACATTTAGTAGCATTTAAACTATCTTCTGAATTTAAACTAATACATTATATTCTCTAGATAAACACTTTTAATGGTCTAATGATTTGGAAACTTTCAGACTTTATTTAGAAGAGAATTTACAGAAACTGTAAAAAAAAAAGAAAAAGTAAAGAATATGCCATCTACATAAAACATTATTAGGTTCCACAAAAGGCTTCTATGCAAATTCACAGATAATATCCAGGCATGCTATGTGGTATTAAAGTGACAATGCTTTTGTAGGGCTCACTAGACTCTATGCAAATAACTTTAGGATATATGTCATCATTATGATCTGCTTGAGTGACCAGGTATTTTCAGTCATTTGTACCCAAGAAGATCTATCATCAACTGATCAATCTCATGACTTCTCATTGAAAAAATCACTTCTGTGGTGTATCATGGATTGACAACTGAAAGGAGAGGAAAATATCTTCACAGAAAAGTCAATTTAGTCTTATCTGCTTTGACTACGTACCAGCTTATTTTTCAGCTTCAATACAAGGTCTACTGTTTCTACTTCTGTGTGTTTCTGTATCCAAAGAAGTAAGTCCTAGAAGAATAAATAAATCCAGTATCAGTATTCACTCAAAATAATATTCAAGTGGCTCTATTTCAATAGGAGAGGCTACTGGGAAGGAAGGACAAGAAGAAAAAGGAAAACAGGGTATTTTAAACCAGGTTACTATGAATCAGAATAGACTCGACAGCAGTGGGTTTGGTTTGGTTTTTTATAGTATGGAAGTACTAGGATAACTGTGTACATAATATCATAATAACTGTTAAGTGGATAAGTTTCAACATAAGCCAGAACAACTGTCTAATATTTAGAAGTAAAAGAAAATTCTTTTCTGGGAGGCAGGGCCAAGATGGTGGAGTAGTCAGATGCTTCCAGTGGACCCTCTTACAACAAAGACCCGAAAAAACAAGTGAATCAATTATATATGACAATCTAGGAGCCCTGAACATCAAAGGCAAAGTTGAGGAACCGGACTGAGTGGCAGGGGGAGGGAGAGACGGTTTGGAAGCAGCAAGGAGTTGCCAGACCTGACCTGGCAAGAGCCTGAGTCCTTCAGGCCTGACTGGCTCATGGGTGAGTGGTGAGGCAGGCAAGCAGTGGTGCTCGGGAGGCGTATTCTGCACTGGGAGAGATCCAGCAGCAGAGAGTCTACTCGGCCACCCAGAACCAGTGAGAAGCAGCCCTCAATCGGTGAAAGGTAAGTACTTGCATCCGGATCAAAAACAGCCCCCTTAGGGAAAAACCTCTCTCTCATTTACCTCCCCGCTCCCTGCTCTGCACTGGGTCCGGACCGGCTTCAGCGACTGCCGAGTCCCCTGGACCGGAAGTAGGATCCGTCACACACCCGGAGCCATTCTCCCTGCCTTGGAGAGTGAACAAATTAACAAACAGGAAAAGATAAACTGCCAGCTTCCCTAAGCCAGGAGCCCAGGGTAGGCACAGCTCTGTTGCCTAGGCACAGGCATAAGGGATCCACAGACTTTGAGTGCCTTTCCCCCTGCATAGACTTGTGTGGGCCCATTTCAACAGCATAAGCCCTCATTACCACAGAACAACAGGATATATACCTGAAGTCTAACTTCAACTGTTTCAGCTGTGAAATGGTAGGTTCGTGACATCTGACACTGCTCTGCCCATTAAGCAGGGTGTTCACCTACCCACATCAGGGCCTGAGGACTGGTGGCTCCACCCACGCCACCTACGATAGGGGCCCGTGAATAAGAGGTGCCCCCCAGTCCTTACAGCCAACAGCACTGGGTGCTCATAGTCCAGCTGCAAAACCCACCCACCAACGTGCTCTAGGGAACAGGAGTACGCCTTCCTCCTGGGCACTCCGGCAGTGGGGGGAGGGGAGGGACACATCAGCCCCCTGCCTGGCTCAGAGTGTGTCCTCCTGCTGCAGCCAGATGCCTGTGCCTACAGCAATCACCCATGCCTGTCTAGGACTGCAAGTGAAAGCCTGCACCACACACTTGGTGACTATGTACCTGGGCACCTGAGCTGAATCCATACAGGAGGAGTGGGCGGACTCCTGCGCTCACATTATCTAGTAACAGATCTAGCCACCTGGTGACAGGACATTAGAGCTTCAAAGGTGCCAATAAATCAAACTAGCTCACATGAGCAGCCAATTTGGGCATATCAAAACAAAACAAGAAGCTAGGACACAGTAAGCAAACATAAAATAAATAAATATAATAACTTATTGATGGCTTGGAGACAACAGTCAATATCAAATTACATAAAGAGGAAGTCCATGATGGCTTCAGCAAGCTCCCAAAATAAAGAATCTAGAAATATTCAGAGGAAGAAAATTTCTTGGAATTACTGGAGGCAGAATACAAAAGATTAATATACAGAACTCTTCAAGAGATTAGGAAGGAAATTAAGCAAAATGCAGAACACACAATAGAGAAAATTAAAATGATTAGAGAAGAGCATAATGACAAATTTAACAGGATGCAAGAATCCATAGAAACACAGCAATCAGAAATCCAGAAGATTAACAATAAAATGTCAGAATTAGACAACTCAACAGAAAGTCACAGGTGCAGAACTGGGGCAATAGAAGTCAGAATTAGTGAGATTTAAGATAAAGCACTTGACACCAACTTATTTGAGGAAAAATCAGATAAAAGGATTTAAAAAAACGAAGACACCCTAAGAATTATGTGGGATTCTATCAAGAGGAATAACCTACAAGTGACTGGAGTACCAGAACGGGGTGGGGGGGGATAACAGAAAATTCTTTTCTGAAGTCAGCCTTTTTTAGGTTAATCAAGAAAAACAAAACTGCAATGCTAAGTGCAAAAGTATGCCCCTCCCCTAAACCAAGTAGTGAGTACTTCAATTTACAAGGCTCATTAGCTAACAAATTAAGGTAACTGTGAACATGAGTTTTGCATCTTCCAACAAGCTCTTTCTGGGCTCACTTGTGGTTGTTTTCATCACACTCCTCTCAAAACCAGTCACTGGGTGTTTATGATTAGACAGTTAACACTGGAGATAGGTCACCTCGATATTTAAAGCTAAACACAAATGAAAATAAGACTACCCTTTATATCTTCACAAATAGTTTAATTTAAAAATAGCCTGGTGGTAAGTTATGGAACATGAAAAAGTCAGTCCAGGCATATGAAATATTGCTAACACTAACTAAATAAGGAATACTGGAAAAGAACTCAGGATCTGGAGTTAGACAGCTTGGATTTGAATCCTGGCTCCATCCAGTAGTATACTGGTGCATGTTTAACCAACAGCTCTCCAGAAAAAGTCTCTGGTTTGCAGCATTTGCCAATTTCTGTGGTGTACATACTCCCACTTAAGCCGATTCTAAGCTACCAACCTGAGGTCACTGAAAGCAGGGACACACACAATCAGCACTTGTGAGCCCTGCACGTGGGCTTCACCTCCTGCTGGCTCCACTACTTAGCAGTGATACGGACTAAGGGCAGTCACTTCCCTTCGCTAAGCCTCAGGTGTCCCGTAATGCAGATCATAACCACCTACCTCAATGAGTTGTTGTGAATATTAAAAGAGGTAATCCATAGAAAGTCCCTGGCACATAGTACACAATCTAGAAAAATCAGCATTAGTAGTGTTTATAAAGAAGGGGGTAAGAGTATAATCCTCCCTCCTCTAAGAATAACTGTATCTTTATTTTCAGTAGCTGTTAATCATCACACAAACATGCATTTTCTAACCTCTTTACAAAGAGCTTCTAGATGGAGTGCTTCCAATTTCTGGGTCATTTCCTTCCGCCGGGTCCTGAACCAGCCATCGAAATTAGGAGATTTTAAAAAATGCCTATAAATATAATTTTTTAAAAAAGTAAAGTTTGATTATGACTTTTTAAAAAAATAAATAAATAAAGCTCTGTATATGGGTAAAAATGAGAAAACAACAAGAACAAAAAAACAGACTAACCGGTAAAGTCCAATCCAATCGCCTTTTATTCGAGAGGTCAGCTGAGGTCCTGTCTTCTCGAGTGTTTTCATAAATTCTTCTGGAAGGAACTGTCTTAGTTGGGGTGGACTCTAGAAAACAGGACATACTATATTTTAAAGATTAGAAATGGATATATTCACAGGAGTTAACTACTGTTAGAGAATTCAGAGAGGAATTTACATGACTATATTCATACCTTCCATGGAGAAATGCTTTTCTGCAAAGGCATCAAGCTTGCCACATACCGTTCCTAAAACCAAGAAAAAAAGTTAATCAGAGTTAGACGTTCTTACTCAGGTAGTCTTCAAAAACTTTTAAATAGATCTATTTGAAAGAAATGGGCTTCCAAGTTTTTCACCACATGCTGTTTCAATGGACATCAACCACTCTATCACTCCCCACACTAGATACAGCTCAATTTAGGCAGAGTGAGATTTTTCAATAAAAATTTAAATAAATCTTGGAATATTATTCAGCCATAAAGAAAATGAAATTCTGATACATGCTACAACATGGATGAAGCTTGAAAACATTATGCTGAGTGAAATAAGCCAGACACAAAAGGACAAATATTGTATGATTCCACTTACATGAAAAATCTAGAATAGGCAAAAGCATATAAACCAGTGGTTACGAGGGGTAGGCGTGAGGGGAAATGGGGAGTTATTGCTAAGGGAGTACTAGGTTTCTGTTTGGGGTGATATAAACTTTTGGAAATAGGCAGTAGTGATGGTAGCACAACACGGAGAATGTAATTAATGTCGCTGAATTGTACACTTAAAAATGTTAAAAAACGGCAAACTTTCTGTTATATGTATCTCACCATAAAATTTTAAAAAATTTAACTAAATCTTGGATAATTGAGGAACTATGTCTTTCTAATGATAGTAATTAATCTTACTAACCATGTGCCAGAAATGTGCTCAACATTTTACATGCATGATCTCTTTTAATCCTTGCAACGATTCTATTTGGCAGGGATTACTGGGAAACTGAGGCCTCAAAAGGCTGTTAACTTGTCCAAGGTTACACAGCTTGGACTTGAACTCAGGTCTACTTGATTTCAGTCCATGCTATTAAGCACTGTATTTGTTTACTGACTTAAACAGATTTAAATGAACAAAATAAACAGACATCCAAGAAAGAATATTTCTTCCCAAAGTATAACAGCAAAGATCTCCAGGTTGTCCCAATATATATAATGTTCATAAATAATTGTTTTTTGTTTTGTGTGCCGTTGAGTTGCCTCCGGCTCATAGTGACTCTACATGACAGACTAGAACTGCCCCATATGGTTTCCTAGGCTGTAATCTTTACAGGAGTAGGGAAAGTGGAATTAGATACATTTTACAGATAAGAAAACTGAAGGTCAGAAAGAGGAAATGACTTACGGAAGTCACGGAGTTAATACCAGAACACAGAATACAGGCCTCCTGCAAAGGGCTCTATTTGTAATCACTAAACCCATGAGCAGGCAAAACACACAACTAAAGATAACATTTTGGTGGGTGGGAAAAACATTCATATACCCTTCAACAAATCATTAAATCAAGCAAATCTGCATTTGTTAACTTACTAATGGAATGATGAAGCTTTGTGTCAGTTCCAAAAAATAGCGTCGAAGAATAACACTTTGAGCCTCAGAAGGACGTTTCTGTTGTACACCCTTAAAAGAGTGAACAGTGACAAGCTATACTCTAGTGTCACGGAATATAAAACAATGGATAATTATAGAAGCTCAACTGACAGATAAATATACATTTACACTTAATATTAAAAAAAAAGTAGAATTTCATCTTTTTTTTTTAACATTTTATTGTGCCCTTTAGGTGAAAGTTTACATAGCAAATTAATTTTCCAATCAATGATTCTTAAATTGTTTTGTGACCTTGGCTGCAATCCCCACAATGTGTCAGCACTCTCCCCATTTCCTCGCTGGGTTTCCCTTTCCCATTAGTCCGGTTTCCCTTCCCTCTCTGTCTTCTCATCTTTGGTTTTGGGCAAATGTTGCCCTTTTTGTCTCCTGTAGTGGATTGTTTAAGGAGTACATTCCTTACAGGTGTTACTGTTTATCTTAGAGCCCTGTCTATTATTTGGCTGAAAGGTGACCTCCGGGAATGTCTACAGTTTCAAGTTGGAAGGTGGTCTTAAGGCAACAGTCTGGGCGGTTCTTGCAGTCTCTTTCAGATCAGTAAGTCTGGTCTTTTTTTTTTTAATTTGAATTTTGTTCTACATTTTTTACTCATTCTAACTGTGATCCCAGTTGGAGTGGCTGGTAATGGTAGCCAGGTAACTTCTAGTTCTTTTGGTCTCAGGTTAGATGAGGCTGTGGTTCACGTGGGCCATTAGTCCTTTCGACTAATTTCTTCCTTGAATCTTCGGTTTTCTTCGTTCTCCTTTGCTCCAGGTGGGAAAAGACCAACAGTTGCTTCTCAGATAGCCGCTCACAAGCTTTTAAAACCCCATACACTACTCACCAGGATAGAATGCAGAACTTTATCTTTATGAACTGTGTTTTGCCAACTGACCTAGATGTTTCCCTAGACTATGGTCCACAGCCTTCATGCCCAGTAGTTCAGTCCCGATGTCAAAGTAGTTTCTGTAAGTAGAACTTTATCTTGAAGTAACTTAACATAAAGTTTATTATGCAGTAAACCATTTAAAAAATCCTTAGAGCAAAACATGAGTCTCTAAATTAGTCAGCTTCATTCATCCCATACTTTAAACGTATCAGTCCACAATGCAGACCATCTTTATTTTATACTTGCTGTATTAAAACTATTTATAGTTTTCTGACAATACTGACTATTCCCTATCCCCTCCTCATGGTAGTCTATGGCTTTTCCCTATAACTCCCAAGTTTCCAGGAAGACTGGCACTGGTTTGTAGCTGAAGCCCTGTATTTCTAGTCCATAATTGCTGCTACTTTAGTCTGGTTTGTATCAAGCTTTGGTTCAAAACAGAAATAACACTTCACATTACTATCCATAAACATACTGTTTTAACTGGATACTGCATACCTGAATAAGGAAATTGAAATTAATAATATGAACAGATAATTACCTTCTGTAACTGTTTTACAATCTCTTCATCTCTGTTTAGATATGGCTTATAAGAAGTATAAACTCCTAGGAAGTGAAAAGAAGAAAATAAGATAAACAGAAAAACCTAAATATCTATATAAGTATATATTTAAAAATTAGTAACAGCCAATACCAGGTTTAGAATCCAGAGTCTTTAGGTTCTTCAATTTTTTCACCTTGACCTGTTTAGGGATTTCACCTGAAGGAAATATCATAAAGATTCTTACAGTTACTCTAATTATATATAACACAAAACTGAAATTTTATAAGATGACTATGTACTTTATTACTTAGCCAGGGTTGTTATTTACAGCTAAAGCATTCTTTTACACATCAATTAACATTTAAGACTTCATTTCTTAAAACTGGATAAAGGGAACATTAGATTACTACAGAAAGAGAGAAACAATTCATGCAAATTACATAAAATAAACTGGATACTTGATCTTTCATTAACATCATTTAAATTTTTCCTTTTCTCAAAGTGTAATTTAAAATCTATATACATCTAATTTAAAGTTTATGTGTCATATACGAATAAAATACTCTTTATGAAACAATAGAACAGAAAGCAATTCCTAAGTGAGTATGCAGATGCAGTCTTCAAAGGTTTCTTCTGACCCGTCCTGAAACTCGGCTTTTGAATGCAGACACTTACACTATCACCAGGTGGTGATCGTGTGCCAAAACCACAGACCTGAGCCACAGATGAGGACTCCTGAATAACACGCAGCACATGCACCGGCCCTGGTCTTGAGCTCAAGGAAAGCTACAACCTAAGCAGCCTTTACAATGGGCAGAAAAATGCTTCAAGACAAACACCTGAAAGGGTCACAGACACACTAAATTTAACAGAATTTCTTTTTCTCCCCCATTCCCCAACCCTCTCTCTCTCTTTGCGTAAGAGGAGGCAGAGAGCCTAAGAACTGAAAGGCAATCTAGAGACCATCTAATTCAACCTTCTCACTTTACAACGTAGCTTTATTTAAATCATGGCATAGATTTAACTGCTAGCTGTTTTCATCTGTGAGGGTGGGATTATAGGAACAGGGAGCTTTTTACTTGCAATTTTATATACTTTGGTATTGTTTAAAAAATTTGGTATTGTTTAAAAAAATTAAAGAGCATGCACTATAGTAAACAGATATTTTTATAAACTTTTAACTTGAGGTAATTTCAAACTTAAAGAAAAGTTGCAGAATAATATAGTCTATATTCCAACTGTGTCAACTGCTCTAATACTAACTTTAACAAAATACTTGTTAAGAAGTCAGTATCACAGATACACAGACTTATCTGTTCATTCATTCAGTAAACATTAGTAAATGCAAAGTACTGATAATACAGGAATAAAACAACTAAGTCCTGATATCAAGGAGCTCCCGGTCTAATGATAAAGTCAGATAAAGAGGAATGACAACACAGAAGGATATGTGCTGTGACAGAAGTATCAACAAGATTCTACAGAAATACCGAAGAGTGTCTTGGCCAAGAACGGATGAAAAAATTATTGACAATTCCTAAAGGAGGTGATATTTAAGCAGTCCTATAAGAGAAAACAGGGCCCTGGTGGCGCAGTGGTTAAGAGCTATGGCTGCTAACCAAAAGGTTGCCAGTTCGAATCCACCAGCTGCTCCTCAGAAACCTTATGGGGTAGTTCTACTCTGATCTATAGGGTCACTATGAGTCAGAATCGAATCGACTCAACGGCAACAGGATAAGATAAATAAAGGGAAAGACCTCTCAGGTAAAGAGTTAAATTCAGAAGTATGAAAAACATGTTTCTTAAAGAGTTAAGAGATAATGCTAGAATAGTAATAGCCACCACTTACTGAATACTCACTCTACGCCAGTCTGGTCTAAGTACATTACACAAATTATCACATTTAATCTTCACAATAAAAGTATGTTTTATCATTCCCATTTCACAGATGAAGGAACTAAGCCATGAACAAAACAGATACTGTATCACCTGGTGTGCACCAGTACCCACTGTTTACTGTTGCCATCCATTCTGACTGGTCAAGGCCCCATTCAAACAAGTTGTCAGCTCTAGTGGCCATAACTAGACACAGAGGAGTAACTTGTCCCAGGACACCCAGATAACATGGCTAGGGCAGGATATGAAATAGTGCAGTCGAACTTCAAAGTCATCATTCTTTTTTTTAATAATTTATTTTATTTTTTGTTAATAGACACAGCAAAACCCACACCAATTCAAGTTTCTATGTGTACAATTCAACGACCCTGATTACACTCTTTGAGTTGTGCAACCATTCTCACCCTCCTTTTCTGAGTTGTTCCTCCCCCATTAACATACGCTCACTGCCCTCTAAGGTTCCTATCTAATCATGAGTTCAGAGCCATCACTCTTAGCCACCACACTATAATGGTAGGAATGGAAGGTATGTTAAGAGGGGCAGGAAATGAAGCTAGAGATGTATTCACGGGGAAGAGGAACTACAAAGACGTCAACGCATGAGGCAACTGAGAGAATGAACGCGATGGGGGGGCATGAGATGAGGAGAGTAAGATGGCATGGTCAAATCTGCATTTTAACACATTCAGTCTACTGGCTCAAAGAGGGCTGAAGTGTTAGAGAGAAGACTGGAAGACGAAACGCATGCATTATAGAGTGCTGCTCCAAGGTAGAAACAGCATGCACAGCAAGGAAAGAGAGAAGAGGCAGCTCTGGTGCTCTGCTGAGGAGACAAAACCTCAGCAGGCTTTTGGGACAGACTGGGTGAGAGCAGAGAGTCCAGAAACACTCAGCTGTCTGAATCACAAGCCTGCAGTTTTCACTTTGTCAATTTACTCTATCTATTCCAATATACTAATTCTTATGAGAATGCCTCTTATCTTGAATCCTATTTGTGGTTCTGCTTTCCAGAGCTGGGGTAGCCTATCATCACAGAATCTGTAAAACTTTTTCCCCTTATTAAAATGCAGTATTAACACATAGTTAACTATACAGATATCTAAACTCTACTTGTGTATTTGCTTCTGATGCCAAGAAACCAAAGAATATCAAGTGTCAAAACCACAATGGTTTGAAAACTTCTAAGTATTTGCATGTTTATTTTGTTCCTACTCCAAGTCAAAAAAGAACTTGTAACTCCCTCCACCAACAAATGCTGTTTATCAACATACTACTTCCTGAAGTTCACTGTAGAAAAGGAAACAAGCATCAGGGAGGAGAATAATTCAGCAGTGGGGTTCATATATTCTTTATATGCAGTAAGTACTTGGCAGTAAAGAAGACGTATTATTGTTGTTGCTGTTACGTGCCATCAAGCCGGTTCTGACTCATAACGACCCTATAATACACGGTAAAACTGCCCCGTAGGGTTTCCAAAGAGTGGCTGGTGGATTTGAACTGCCAACCTTCTGGTTAGCAGCTGAGCTCTTAATCACTACGCCACCAGGGCTCCATGAAGATATATAATGACCCATATCTCTTTTTTAAAAAGGGAAAAGAGGAGGACAACTTGTACAGCAATGTTCATTCACACAATTCCCCTCTGATTCAGTGGTCCTCATCAGGTCTAAGACCCATAGTGGCCTCCAGCCCTAACCCACTGCTGTCAAGTCACATTCTGACTCATAGTGACCATATAGGACAGACAGACAACAACTGCTCCATAGGGTTTCCAAGGCTGTAGAACTTTACGGAAGCAGACTGCGGCTAGTGAGTTGGAACTGCCGACCTTTCAGTTAGCAGCTGGGCACTTTAACCACTGTGCCATGTCCAGCACTAGCTATCATAATTCTTCTACTGTAGCATGTACAACATATCAAGACAATAAGTCAGAAAGATATACTGTCTATTACAAACAAGTAAAATGGATGTCCAATAGTTCTGGAAAAAGACCAAGAATGCCAGAAAACAAACTCAAGTCCTGTAACTACAGGTAATTTAATCAAAAATTACTTATTTAGTGTGTTATATACACTGCACAAAAGAGAGAGGTTCAACTTTACTAAATTAAGAGCCATCATGAACGCACCTCTGCATATTTACAAAAGAGTCTTCTAAACTTAGGCCAGATATTTTGCCTTTCTTGTTCTGAAATCACTAAACCCAATTTCTGGTCAGAAATTATCAGTTTAATAAATTTGCTCCAATATATACCAGTGAAAGTATGTTCTCCTGGAGGAATACTTGAGTACCCATTAGCCTAATATTACATTTCTTAGTTCGGTAGGGGTTGGGTCAACTAAAATTAGGTACAATCCGAAAAAGTAAACCTTTCCTGTCACGAGAAATCATCCCTCCTCTACAGAGTTAAAACTGAATGCATGTTTCTAGTAAAGCGATGAATTTCTGGGCTCGGCAGAGCAAAAGCCCAGTTTTGCTGTGCCTTCCCTGATGATCCTGTAGGAGATGCTTTTCCACAGTTTTACTGACCCTCTCAGATTACCCTGAACCTTCAAAGCCAGAGTCCTAAGCAGGGCTGCTGTGGTTTATAACTTGTGCAGCATATGCAATGATCCTGGTCTTGAGCTCAATGGGCAGAAAAACATCCCATGTTACGTACCAAGGACTCATAAATTAAAAGGTAGGCGGGGAAAAGTATCATAAATACACTAAATTTAACAGGATTTTCTGCTTCTATTAAGACGTCTACTCAAATAAGACTTAGCAGTCTTAGAAATAGTTATTATAGGTCTTGTCCAAAATCACTGAAACACCCCTGATGTCTTTGTTTACAACCTCCTAGCCACTAATTGAACAAGGACCAAAGCCAAGGACAATGACATTCTTCAGATCCACTCTTCAGTGACCAGAATTTATTTAAGGATCTCTAAAGCATTAATTCTTCTATACAACACCATCTATCCTGCAGAAAGAGTGACACCAAGTGAAATGGTCCAAATAAGATGGTGACAGAAATAATCAGAGAACATGACATCTCTCCTCTAAAATAAGCTGCTTAGAATAGAGTGTAACTAATATTCTTTATGTGCTCTCATTCCCATACTGAAAAATAAATTCAAGAGTTGCCCCCATCATCCCTTTTGAACAGTAACTTCACCTGCCTGAAGAGGATTCTCAGAGCACTAAGAACATTAGCTGACAAAGGCATCACAAGAAAAGAAACTACAGACCAATATCCCTCATGAATACAGATGTAAAAATACTCCACAAAATATTAGCAAACCAAATCTAGGAATATAAAAAAGGATCACACACTGTTA